GGTCACGAAAAGCTTTAAATCGAAATGTATCTAGTTGTGTCTATAATGTAACGCGTTATAATATGCAAAATAACACTGGTCAACACACTTTTTCTGGCATAAGGTATTCTAACGGTTTTAAGGTAACGTTGGGGTGCTGATTCCAAATCTGGCATCAGTTTTTGTCTATCACATCAGGTTTTTGAGATATCAAATATTGCATTTTCAATAAAAACTGCAGAAGAAAAATATTAAATGAATGTAGATATGTACATAAAATTATATTATAAACACACTATCCTAAGAATACAGGACCATATTTTAACACTAAAGCAGTCACTGACTCGCAACAACTTGCAATCATAAGTGACAGAGTTAATTTCGGGTAAAATCAATGAAAATGGGGTATGCCGATAGCATAAAAATGAGATGTGATAGAGCAAATCTGAGATCAGATTTGGAATCAGCACCCTGAAATTAGTCTAGAACAGCCGCAAAAGTCCAGGCCAGAAATGTTTTTTTTTGACCAGTGTAGTAGAGACGCACAGAGACACGTAGAGACCCACAGAGATCGAGATTCGTAGAGATGCGTGAGAGACACGGTGCAGTGATGGGACACTGGGGCCAAGCAGCCCACGCTGTGGTTCGCAGAGTGAACTAACGACTGCAGTTTGTGTTCCTTCAGCAGAGGACGAGAAGATGGATAAGCAGCAGCTCCACACAAAAATGATTTTTTTGTTGACCAGTGTAATAGACGCAACAGCTGACACTATTGAGGCATGAGCAGCAGCAGCAGCGGCAAGTTCGCGTAAAACGTCTCATTTACAACAGCACAGTTCGTCATCAGCACTTGCCCCAACAGTCTGTTACAGGCTGTACGGGGAGGTCGTCTATGTGCGTGCTGTGTTGGCATAGTGGGTCACTCCACTGCTGGATGAAGGCTCACCTCTCTCCTCCCCCAACTCCAGTCCCTCCCGTGTCTCCATCTCCGTACGCAGCTATTCAGCCATTCTCCCCGCAGTTTGTTTAACACGCAGGCTGTTTGCGACCGGCAATTTCCGTAGCTAAGGTTAGATCGCGTAATTGTAACTGTGTCGTTAGCCCGCCACCACCCGACACGGCCAATTAGTGAGGTTTGTCAACGTGAACACAACGTGCAAATTAGTGACGAGTTCAGCGCTAAACCGGTTGAGTGCTGGAGAATAAAAACACAATAACTTAATGGATCGATTTTACCAGCATTGGCAAATCACCCGATGAAGCTGGTTGTTGTTGTTGTTGTTGCTGTTGTGGTTGTTGTGGTTGTTGTTGTGTTTGTTGTGGTTGTGTTGGTTGTGTTTGTTGTGGTTGTTGTTGTTGTGTTTGTTGTGGTTGTTGTTGTTGTGTTTGTTGTGGTTGTTGTTGCTGTTGTTGTGGTTGTTGCTGCTGTTGTTTTCGTTGCAGATGTTGTTGTTGTGTTGGTTGTGGTTGTTGTTGCTGTTATTTTCGTTGCAGATGTTGTTGCTGTGTCGGTTGTGGTTGTTGTTGTCGTTGTTGTTGTGTTGGTTGCGGTTGTTGTAATCGTCAGCGAAACGTCACGCTACTCGTAAACGTCGTAGTGGGTTTACTCTCCAACACGCAACAGGACTGCTGCTGCTACTGTTACTGCAGCACTAACGAATTGCCACGTCGTCATGTGTACGTGACAATCCCTTACTAATTGGCTACGGCGGTGGTGGCGGTGGTGGTGGTGGCGGTGGTGGTGGCGGCGGTGGCGGTGGCGGCGGTGTTGGGTTAGCGACACATTTACGTTCACGCGATCTCACACAGACAAACAAAAAACACGTTATTATGAATCTCCACATTTTGTTCCGGATCTGTGTGTATGCATCGTCAAAGTCTTGCTTCAGATCGAAGCCGTCACCTTAGCGGGCATCGTTTCCCACTCACAACTGCTGTGTCAGTGATGGCGATGATGATGATGTTGTTGATGTGGTTGATGTTGCGTGCGATAAGCAAAGTGATTGCGGTGATGAAGTCATACCTGCCAGCCCCTTATCGGTGACCCCTACCTTAGTTTTGGTTCTTTCGGTAAAGTCACGTAGAAGGGAAATAATAAAATAAAAAAATAAAACATAATAAAATATTTCTCACGACGTTTCGGCAACAACGCAAGCAGCCGTCCTCAGGTGAAGAACAGGTCTGTCTGGTGGTGTTCATTCAGCGTCTTATATTTTATTTTTATTATTTTATTATTTCCCTTCTACGTGACTTTACCGAAAGAACCAAGAAGATGAATCCCTGCAGTCGCGAAAGCTTTAAATCGAAATTTTACCCCGACCTTGTTACAGACCAATTCAGACACGTGTTGGTCACCCCCCTTTAAAATCTCAACGTTCATCCGACAAAGTCCCATCACAAGAGAGAAACACAAACACATAGACCAGAAACTGATTTTGCGCAGCATTGAAACGTATCTACGCCGTGTGGACTTGGAAATTCAATTTCCCTGTAGAGGAATACGGGCTAAGCCGTGTGGGTTCACAGCGATGTGATGTCAGTGATGAGAATGGCGATGTTGCGGAGCGATTGTGCCCGCGATAGTGATAATAGCGGTGTGGACGATTTTGTCAATGATGATGATGATGAAGGGGCGAATGACGGTGTGAGTGAATGTTGATGTCAGTGATGGTGATGATGTTAGTGATGATGTAAGTGATGATACGAGTGATGATGTTAGTGATGATGTAAGTGATGATATAAGTGATGGTGTGAGTGATGATGTTAGTGATGATGCAAGTGATGATACGAGTGATGATGTTGATGAAAATGTTGTGAGTGATGATGATGTTGTGATGATGATGTCAGTGGTGGTGATGATGATGATGTTAGGGATGATGTAAGTGATGATACGAGTGATGATGTTGATGACAATGTTGTGAGTGATGATGATGTTGTGATGATGATGTCAGTGGTGGTGATGATGATGATGTTAGGGATGATGTAAGTGATGATACGAGTGATGATGTTGATGACAATGTTGTGAGTGATGATGATGTTGTGATGATGATGTCAGTGGTGGTGATGATGATGATGTTAATGCAGTATATTATAATATACTGTACGGATAATGATTGTCCGTCTCAAGGGGTTGGGTATAAGTAACATCACCACCACCACCATCAACCATGTTCTGTTCACTGCTCTACCATCGCTCAGCCCAAGACAATACCTGAACACATTCCTCAACCAATGGTGTGTACACTAGGCGACGTTTCGGACAAGGGGCCTACGTCGCTGCCGAGAAAAGATTGTTACACCCCCAATAACAACGGGACTTGGCATCGTCATCCTTCTAGCAAATCATTCCTCGGGACCCCTCGCCTCTCAACATCAACAACAACAACATCAACAACATCATCATCATCATCAACAACATCAACAACATCAACATCATCATCAACATCATCAACAACATCATCAACAACAACATCATCAACAACATCATCATCAACAACATCATCATCATCAACATCATCATCATCATCAACATCATCATCAACAACATCATCAACATCATCATCAACAACATCATCATCAACAACATCATCATCAACAACAACATCATCATCAACAATATCATCATCAACAACAACATTATCATCAACATCAACAACAACATCATCAACAACATCATCAACAACATCATCAACAACAACATCAACAACATCATCATCAACAACATAATCAACAACATCATCATCAACAACATCATCATCATCATCATCAACAACATCAACAACATCATCATCATCAACAACATCAACAACATCATCATCATCATCAGCATCATCATCATCAACATCGATCGTGGTCTATCCACTGCTTCACCACCATCGACCCTACCCGAACAACTCAACGCGTTCGTTTAGAGCACTCGCGGGACAGATTTAATATATATATACGTGCGACGTTTCGGGTACTGACCCTCCATCATAGAAGAGTCGCGCGAACCCCCTGATCTCATGACGTCCCACCTCGCCTATCATCAGCGTCATCATCGACCATGATCCATCCACTGCTGCACCATCGATCGCTCCTCTCGAATTCACCGAACCAATACAAAACCAATTCCGTGACCCGCACCACCACCACCACCACCACCCACAACAAACCTCAAGACCACCCCAACCCCCCACTCGCACCCCCAGCCCCGCCCCTCGCTCCTTCACCTGTGTGAGTCCGCTGGTGGATGTGGTGGTTCTCGGAGCGAGTGAAAACCGCCCACTCCTCACCCACTCACTCATTCACTCACACACACTCACCCACTCATCCACTCACTCACTCACTCACCCACCCACTCACTCATGCACTCACTCACTCACTCACCCACCCACTCACCCACTCACTCACCCACTCACTCACCCACTCCTCACCCACTCACTCACCTACTCACTCACTCACTCACGCACTCATTCACTCACGCACTCACCCACTCACTCACCCACTCACTCACCCACCCGCCCGCTCACCAACTCACCCACCCACTCGTTCGCACACTCACCCACTCACCCACCTTCTCGTTCCGCGCAAACTCACCCACTAGTTCACCCACCCACTAGTTCACCCACCCACCCACCCACTCGTTCACTCACTCACTCGTTCACCTACTCGTTCACCCAACCACTCTTTCACTCACCCACCCACTCATTCACTCACCCACCCACTCGTTCACCCACCCACCCACTTTTTCACTCACCCACCCACTCGTTCACTCACCCACTCGTTCACTCACCCACCCACTCGTTCACTCACTCACTCGTTCACCTACTCGTTCACCCACCCACCCACTCACTTACCCACCCACCCACTCACTTACCCACCCACTCGTTCACCCACCCACTCGTTCACTCACCCACCCACTCGTTCACTCACCCACCCACTCGTTCACTCACTCACTCACTCACCCACCCACTCGTTCACCCACCCACCCACTCGTCCATCCACCCACTCGTCCACCCACACACCCACCGGTCCCTCACCTGTGTGCGTCCTCTTGTGGATCTTGAGGTTTTCGGAGCGAGCAAACACTTTGCCGCACGCGGGGAAGGGGCACGGGAACGGCTTCTCGCCCGTGTGCACCCTGATGTGGTTCACCAGCTTGTACTTGGCCTTGAAGGGCTTCCCCTCGCGGGGACACTCATCCCAGCGGCACACGTGCTGTGCCGCCTCGGGACCACCCACGTGCTCCACGCTCACGTGCGCCACCAGCTCGTGCATGGTGCCGAACGTCTTGGCGCACGGCGTGCCGACGACGACGACTCCGACGAGACCGAGACCCGGAGCTCCGTAGCGATCGGCCTCGAGCCATCGACACACGAGCTCCTGCTTGATGGGTTGGTGGCGCAGGTAACGCAGGAACGCGCCGGCTCCTAGACTCACGGCTCCGCCGCCACCACCGCCACCACCGCCACCACCGACGCCGTACGGATCGGGCCGAATCACCTGGCAGAAGGCGTCGGGCAGCGAGTGGAGGCCCGGGTAGAGAGAGTGCGTTTGCGCGCCGTGGTTCGATTCGACGAAGCTGCCGCCAGCGTGGTAGAGGGATGGCGATGCGGGAGATGCGGTTGACTGTGGTATGAACATGCCGGCGGTGTGGTGGTGGTGGTGGTGAGGGAGGTGATGGTGAGGGTGGTGGTGGTGGTGAGGATGATGATGGTGAGGGTGGTGGTGCAGGTGGTGGTGGTGGTGGTGGTCCGGCAATCCGCTCGGCATCGTCGCTCGCGGAATCAGCAACTCCGTGTTGAGCTCAGTGGCGTAGCAAGGTTGAACCAAGTTGAACGCAACAACGTCGCCTCCTCCTCCACCTCCTCTGCGCGTTCCGTCTCCTCCCGTTCCCGGCCCACCACCTCCAGGACAACCGCCGCCGCTGGCGCAGGGGACGACGGGAGCCGCCGTGGCGCGTTCCACGTGGACGAGATGATGTTGTTGTTGTTGTTGTTGATGTTGTTGTTGATGTTGTTGTTGTTGCAGGTGGTGGTGAGGCTGCTGCTGCTGCTGCTGATGGTGCTGATGGTGGTGGTGGTGGAGTGCCGAGCAGGCCCCCAGTTTCAAAATCTGCGCTTCGTAGCGACCCAACCCCGGGATGTAGTCGCGCTCGGCAGCCGCACGGAGCCCTCCCGCGGCGAGAGATGGGGGTGAGGCGCACCCCGGGAGATCGGACAGCAGGGGCTGCTGCTGCTGCTGTAGCTGCTGCTGCTCGTGGTGGTGGTGGTGGTGGTGGAGGGGGAGGGGGTAGGGGTGGGGGTGGGAGCGCTCGGGGGCTGGAGGGAGGACCGGGGGGAGACGGGGAGCAGCGGTCCCCGTGAAATCGAAGAGTCGGAGTTGTGAGCGCGAGAGGGTTTCTGGAAGCAGCATGGTTGCCCCTGTCGGCGTGGGAGCGGTGGTGGTGGTGTCGGGAGGAGAGATCGTTAGGCGAGAAGGGCGAGGTGGGGGGGTGGTGGTGAAGGTGGGGGCGGCGAGGGGGAAGGTGGAGGAGGATGGGGTAGAGAGTGAGATGAGGTGGTGACGTCAAGTGAAGCGTGGCTGACTGACTTGCACCGCGCAGTAGACACAACTCACTCAGCAAGACGGAGGCTGACTGACTCACTCAGTCACACAATCACTCACTCACTCACACAATCACTCACTCACTCACACAATCACTCACTCACTGACTGACTCACTCACTCACACCATCACTGGCTCACTCACTCACACAACCACTGACTCACTCACTTACTCACACAACCACTGACTCACTCACACACTCACTGACTCACTCACTCACTCACACAATCACTGACTCACTCACTCACGCATTGATTCACTCACACACTCACTCACACAATCATTCACTCACTCACACATTCACTGACTCACACAATCACTCCCTCACACAATCACTCACTCACACAATCACTCACACAATCACACAATCACTCACACAACCACACAATCACTCACTCACACAATCACTCACTCACACAATCACTCACTCACTCACACAATCACTCACTCACACAATCTCTCACTCACATACTCCCTCACACAATCACTCACTCACTCACTCTCACAATCACGCTCTCACACAACCACTCACTCACACACTCACTGACTCACTCACTCACACAATCATTTACTCACCCACTCACACACTCACTCAGTCACACACTCACTCACTCACACAACCACTCACTCTCTCACTCACTCACTCACACAATCACTCACTCACTGACTCACTCACTCACACAATTACTCACTCACACACTCAAACACTCACTCACTCACACAATCACTCACACAACCACTGACTCACTCACTCACATAATCACTCACTCACTCACTCACCGACTCACTCACACAACCACTCACTCACTCACACACTGACTCACTCACTCACTCACACACTCACTGACTCACTCACTGACTCACTCACACACTCAAGCTCACACTTTGACACCCCCCCGCCCATGTAGCCTTAACAGACTGTTGCGGCAAGTGCTGTTAGCGAGTAGCACCTCTAAAGACAGACACGGCACCCGAGGGGGTGGGTGGCCAGCACCACGCCCGACCGCCTTTGTCTTTCTACAGGGGCGATGTTTAGACACCACTCCAGGTACTCATTTGAGGCTGAGTCAACCCCCGGGAGGCCCGTACCGGTTCCGATATTTCGCCCCTGGTGGTGTTGGTGGTGGTGGTGGCCGTGAGCGGGAATCGAACTCGGGTCGTAGCTGGTTTCGTAGCGCAGCGCTAACCACTACGCCACCACTGCCCACTTACACACTGACTGACTAAGACACAACAACAACAACCGCCCTTCGGCACTAAGTGGTGGTGACGTCACCAGGGGGCTCGTGCCAGGCTATGTGCACGTTGAGGCCACGTGAAGTGTCGAACGCCCGCTGGCAGGAGGTCCACGGGACAGACCCAGCAGGTGCCACGGGTCGACTGATTGAGTTGACTGGTCGATGCACCACCTGTGCCCCCCAACTGTGCCGATTTGCTGTGCTTTATCCGCCCGGCACTCCGCTCGTTGTTGTGAGTGTCGCTCGTCCGCCCTTCGTTGTTGTTGGAGGGCGACTGCCTCCAATTGCCCAGTAGCAGCGTCCTTAACAAACACACGCATTCGCTCGCTCACTCACTCACCCACTCACCCACTCACTCACTCACTCGCTCACCCACTCACCCACTCACTCGCTCTCTCACTCACCCACTCACTCACCACCAACTCAATCACTCGCTCACTCACTTACTCACCTACTCACTCACTCATCACTCACCCACTAACTCACCACTCACTCGCTCACTTAATCGCTCACCTACTCACTCGCTCGCTCACTTACTCACTCGCTCACTCACTCACCATTCACTCACTCACTCGCTCACTCACTCACCCGCTCACTCAATCACTCGCTCACTCACTCACTCGCTCACTCACCCACTCACTCACCCACTCACCACTCACTCACTCTCTCGCTCACTCACTCACCCGCTCACTCAATCGTTCGCTCACTCAATCACCCACTCACTCACTCGCTCACTCACCAACTCACCCACCCATTCACTCGCCCACTCACCCACACTGACACCACACGCCCTGACACACACACACGCGCGCGCGCGCCGTAGTTTAACGCCCCTTACACACCCATACCCTGTCACGCACACAAATAAACAAAGGAATCCCCCCGTGTTGCCTATAGAGGCTGTTGAAGAAACGCTGTTAGCGAGCGCCTATTATAGGCGGCACGACGCACAAAGGAGTGCCGGTAACCAGAGCTACGCCCGGACACATTTGTGTTCCCCAAGAGTTTGCTGATGTTCACTACACATCACAACAGGCACTCGTTTAGGGCTGAGTCGATGTAGAGGGGTCCCAGGATGATCGAACTCGGCTCGCCACGCGTGTTCGTAGCGAAGTGCGTTAACCGCTACGCCACCGCTCCTCGCTCACACACGCGTACACAAGGACAAAGATCCCCCGTGTAGCCTTAACAGACTGTTGGGGCAAGTGCTGTTAGCGGGCAGCTATGAAGGCCGCAACGGTACGCGAGGGGGTGGGTGGACAGCATCACGCCCGGCCGCCTTTGTCTCCCCAGTGGCGATGTTTACACACCGAACCAGGTACCAGAACAGGTTCAGATAATCTTCACCGGTGTTGGCCGTGAGCGGATATCGAACCCGGGTCGCCAGGTTCGTAGCGCAGCGTAGTGCAAACCATTACACCACCGCTCCCCACACACACGCACACACTCACACACACTCTCACGCACACACTTACTCCGACACACTCAGACACACACACGCGCACACTCACACACTGTCACACACACTCAGACACACACTCACAAGCAGACACTCACACGCGTACACTCACACACACTCGCACGCACACACTTACTCCGACACACTCAGACACACACGCGCACACTAACACACACTCTCACACACACTCAGACGCAGACACTCACACGCGCACACTCACACACTCTCACACACATTCAGACACACACTCACACGCGCACACTCACACACACTCTCACACACACTCAGACACACACTCTCACACACACTCAGACACACACTCAGACGCAGACACTCACACGCACACACTCAGACACACACTCACACGCAGACACTCACACGCGCACACTCAGACACGCACTTCCACACACACGCACGCACTCACACACACACCCCACTCCTCAACCGAATAGAATGCGCGGTGGGGGTTGGAGGAGGAGGAGGAGGGGGGGGTAGGAGGAGGAGGAGAGGAATTGCCAGCGGGGGGCTGGGGGGCTATGGGGTTGGGGGGGGGGAGGGGCGGGGTGCATGACCCCAAAAAAAAAGAATTTAAACAAAACTTCTGAGCCGAGGGTGGCCCCCCACTGAGCACCACTGAAGCAGTGGTAGGTTGTGGTGGTGGTTGTGGTGGTTGTGGTGGTTGTGTTGTTGGTGGTGGTGGGGAGTGGTGGCGCAGTGGGTCAGCTCACGACCACCACACCGACCCCATCTCTGTCGTCTGCCGTGCCGGCCTTAATAGGAGCTCGCAAACACCACTTGCCCAAAGAGTCCACGTAGGCTATCCCCGGTGGCGGGGGGGTGAAGGAATCTTTGTCTTTAGTGGCTGCGCGTGTGACTTTACGTTGACTTGACTCGTGTCCATGGGGAGCGGTGGCGCAGCGGTTAGCGCGCTGCGCTGCAAAAACCCGGACACTCGAGTTCGATTCCCGCTCGTGACCGGTGGCGATTATCTGAACCGGTCCTGGTTCTGGGCCTCCCCTAGGTGGGCTCAGCCTCAAATGAGTACCTGGTGCGGTGGGTAAACGTCGCCACTGGGGAGACAAAGGCGGCCGGGCGTGGTGCTGGCCACCCACCCCCTCGTGTGCCCGTGCCGTGTCTGTTTAGGTGATGGTCATGCTGGTGATGGTTGTGGTGGCGATGGTGGTGGTTGTGGTGGTTGTGTCGGCTCGTGAAGGACGCCGCTGCTGCTACTGGGCAGTTGGAGGCAGTCGCCCTCCAGCAACAACGGAGGGCGGAGGAGCGACGCTCACAACAACGAGCCGAGCGCCGGGCGGCTAAAACGCAGCAAGTTGGTTCAGCTGTGTGCATCGGCCACTCATCTCGGTCAGCACAACCCATGGCACCTGCAGGGTCTGTCCAGTGACCTCCTTCTGCCATCAGCGAGCCCTTCGACACTTCACGTGTCCTCAAAGTGCACCTAGCCTGGCACAGGCGGCGATTGGCTGGGGGTGTTGTTGGTGTTGGTCCACTCATCGAATCGACTCGTCATTCCATGTGGATTCTTAGCCAAGCGACGGTTCACGATTCCTGAAACTCGCAATCAAATACGATTAGTTCCGCATTGTTCGCTTTTGTTAGGTGTGGAGTAGGGGGAGGGGGAGGTTACCGGTTACCGCACCGCCGATTAGAGCGGTTGGCCAGGTACGGTGTGGAAGAAGTCCAACACAACATGCACAACCGGTTAACCGGTTAACCGGTTGTGCATGCGCAGACACGAAACGCGACGTATGAAAACAAAAAAAAAAGAAAAGGGTTGACCCTTGCCGGCCATCAAACAGATGTTAAAACACCACATCGAAATACTCTTGGTTTTTTCGGTAAAGTCACGTAGTTAAAATAAAAATAAAAAAATTAAATCACAACGTTTCGGAGGCAACACAAGCTTCCGTCTTCAGGTTGGAACCGTCACAGCAAAAATTACT